ATGAGGGTGTAATGTGGTCCTTGACCATCTCAGTCCCCACTGACTACCTGCTCATTGTAAATCATTTCCTCGCGGCAGACATGCTGCCTGATACTCTGGTGGGAAAAATCGTCATCAATGTCAACCCGTAGGGTTTACTCCTAAACCTTAAACTGAAATCTCATGCCTCTCTTGTTTCCTACAGGAAACATAAATAGCACCCCTCAGGTCACAGAAGGTGACATCTCCTCTATCACCTGATTGCTCACTCGGATCGCAATCCCCCATAAACGCCTTCTCTACTAATCCCTGAGTCTTGCGACTACATCTGACATCTTACCAAAAATACTCTAAATGCTCTCAACCTCCCTCTCAAGGGATGCCTCTTCGAACTCAATCATGGCCCTCATGCCTAAAACCCAATCGCGTCCCATTTCCACCTAATTAATCGTGACCGGATAATTGAAGAGCTACAAGCGTCATTCGCTACAAACCAGGATACTTAGCCCATGAAATCTCTTTTCAATATGCTACAACGTATGTTACTCGAACCATAACATCACTCCTTAATCCGCTTCGATGTATGGTACTCGAACCATAACATCACTCCTCAATCTGCTCCGATACATGGTACTCGAACCATAACATCACTCCTCAATCTGCTTCGATGTATGGTACTCGAACCATAACATCACTCCTCAATCTGCTATGATGCATGGTACTCGAACCATAACATCACTCCTCAATCTGCTCCGATGTATGGTACTTGGACCATAACTTCCCTCCTCAATCCTCTACGTTGCATGGCATTCGAACCATAACATCACTCCTAAATTTTCTCGGATGTATGGTACTCGAACCATAACATCACTCCTCACTCTGATACTTAGAACCTTCGTAATAGTCCCTATATCGAGTATGGGTCCTCTACTTTCGGTGGTACGGGCCCATACTACCTGCCACATTTACCCATACTCTCCACACGGACCATCCCAAAGCTCCTAAGTAGCTGCTCAATCTTCTCGTTCACCAATTCTGTCACGCATGCTCGCTTCTCAGTGAAATGCTCTACTCTGCCAGTGTACTCATCTGGCTAAGGTTACTCCCTAGGCTCTTCCTTGGTCCTCCCCCTTCTCCGCCATCAGCTGCTAAAGAGCTCCTATTGATGCCACCCATCTACCTCCAGAATATCATCATATTCACTTGGTAGCTGACTCCCATCATCGAGAGTTCCACAAAGCATGAAGCAAGCAATATTCGGGCATCGAATAATACATAGAACTCACTATGGGTGATAACTCTGCTTGCTCTTATCATTCTCAAATTACCACAGAACTCTGCAACTCTACCCCTCGCGGGTTCTAACTACTCTCTCGATAAGCACCACAATACTCATCTAGGCATCTCTCCTAAATGACTCCTCTACTCAAATCCCATAAAAGGATTCTAGCTGAATACTCTTACTCATCATATACTCAAAAGCGCATCACATATAACAACAACTCCTAGGCTAAGGCATCACAAATCAGGCCACTCTAGTCCTAAGATATGAAATACCTAGCCTGTCTCTAGCATGCATAATATCTCATAAAATGTATCATAAATGTCTCATAACACAAAAGTAAGGGTATTTGGGGAAATCAGCGTTCGGGCGCTGGCTGATTGTACACACGGCTCTGCTGTGTTTGTCTCAAAACTCTTTTACTCTTTCAAAATTATTTTATTATCAAAAAATTTCCTCACATCCTCAGTTTGAGTTCGGATACGCCTGAAGGTGTGTCCGAATCCCTCAAACTAAGGCTCTGATACCAACTTGTAACACCGTAAAATTTCAAACAAATTTTCACATTTTAAAAACACTTTATTTCACAATATTATAAAACTCATTGTTTCATATATTCGAACATAAGTAAAAATCCCAAGATCATTACATATAAATAAAACTTTGCGTGTGTGTGTACTGATCATGCTGGTGCCTTCCCGCGATCCTCACTAGTACCTGAAACACATAACACAAAACATTGTAAACACGAAGCTTAGTGAGTTCCCCAAAATACCACACATAACAGATACTAGCCACCTGAGGTTATAACTCTGTGGGCCCTTGGGCCCTAACTCCGTGGACCTTCTGGTCCTAACTCTGCGAACCTTCCGATTCTAACTCTGATATACTCTGATATACACACGACATAAATCACATAGAAATAATGCAGTGCAACACATCACATAAATAACATACAATAACTCTGTCACATAACTCTAATTACCACTCAAGGTAAAGTATAGTGAGAAGACTCACCTCAAACGTAGTCGGATGAACTCTCGTGCTCATCGTCCCGACCTAGCCTCCTCTTATTTATCAAATAACATTCCCGATCAATACTCTTTCATAGTCTCATCTCTAAAGATTGGGTAGAACACCATTCTACCCCTCCCTGAACTCTTTTAAGTCAACCTTGACTAGAACCCTAAAGTCAATGAACGTCAATGGTTAAACTTTGACCTGAATCGTAAAGTGCACATGGACGACTCAGCGAGTCCACACGTGTCCATGGAATCCTCCTTCTACCCTCACTTGACACATCGAGTCAACCCCTTGCTCGACGAGTTACACTTGGCACGAATCATGGGGCAACCTTGACTCGACTCATCGAGTCCAATTATGAACTCGGCAAGTTGCATCCATGATCATACTCAAATGACCTTCTGAGGCCAGATCTGTTCCTCTAATCCATATATCTGTTCTTCCCAAGCTCAAGAAACACGTAAAGGTATAACCTTTATACACATGCAATGCTCATAAGTCTCAAAATGGAGAATTCACTCATAAATGGCGGCCAAAGCTCATGACTCTTAAAGGATTTGCATAGAGCTGGGGTATAGAGACTCTCTGGACCTCCCAAGGTCTAGATCTGAAGATATAGACACATCACATACTCTAGATCTCTTACCAAAAGAAGACAAGAAACCCTAGATTCATGAAATCTAGCACACAAACAAAGATGGACCCAAATCCTTACCTCCCACAGCAGCTCTGAACAAAAAGATGGAAGATTTAAGTCCCACAAGACAACCTAACTCGAAATCCATCCTTCCCTTTGCTAAAAAACACTAAAAGATGATGAATTAGCCTTCCTCTTGCACCACAAGCTTCCTCTTGCTCTCTAGAGTTTCTCAGGGTGTAATGGCCGCAAATGAAGGCCATAAGGACCTTTAAATAGGTCCCAAACCCGAACAACTAGGGTTTTCTTAACAGCGCTGACTCGGCGAGTCCAGATACCCGACTCGGTTAGTCCCTTCATTAAAAAAGTCACCAAATCGCGATCCTACTCGACGAGTTGGGGTGTCAACTCGCCCAGTCTCTTCACACCCCAAAAATAAAATACTCAAATTTCCATACCTATATATCCGGATGTTACAAAGCGCCCGAAATCTTAACATATTTAAAATCATATGAGTTCGTGTTTTACTTACATATGATGCATGGCATTTCACGCCTCACGGGTACATTGTCAAAGCAACTTCAAAGAAAAGATCTAGACATTTTGGAAGTGGCTTCGATGGTTAGAGGAACAATGGAGGCATTGCAATCTTTCAAAAACACAAGGTTTCATAACATTTTACCAAAAGTATCATCTTTTTGTAAAACACACAAAATTGATGCTTTACATATGGAAGAGTTGTATATTGGTGCGAGAAACCGTAAGACTACAAAGACTAAAAGATTTCATTTTGTAGTTGAAATCTTGAACATGGTGGTAGATATGCAACTTACAGAATATCGGGATCAATTTAGTGAAAGAAGCGCCCAATTACTAGAATACATGAGTGTTTTGAGCCCTTGTGATTAATTTGCACAATTTGACAAATCAAAGTTGTTGAAGTTGGGTAAGTTAGACAAATATAACTTTGATGATTCGGATATGATAGACCTTAAAGGACAACTTGAGAGATTTATCACTCTTGCATCAAAGATGAGCGCTTCACTAGTTTGAAAGGAATTTTCGACCTTTATCGTTTGATAATTAGTACGGGGAAGCATCAATCTTATCCTTTGGTTTATAAGCTTTTAAAGTTGGTTTTGAAATTACCCATAACGACCGCAAGTGAAGAAAGATGTATTTTCAAATATGAAGCTCTTGAAGATTGAACTACGCAACAAAATTGGTGATAACTTTTTGAACACGCATTGCTTTGTAATGTTAAGACCGAAGCACTTGCGAAATTTGAGAATGAAAAAATAATGAAGAGATTTTAAAAGATGTTTACACGAATGGGACAAATTTAAATTGTAATAAATCATTGTTATATTATGTTTTGTATCATGTTTACCTAGGGAAAAAAAACTGTATTAGATGTTTTATATTATGTTTGACTGGAAAAAAGAATCATGTTTTATATTATATTTGACCGGAAAAAAAATATTTATGGAACCTTATCTACTAATTCTTGCTCATCTACTCATTCCTGCGTAGCCGTATTAATTTCCCATGATGATGCTTGGTTCCGCCATGCCAATTGTTGTTAATGTGTTTTTCGATTGATATCGCTTTTATGTAACCACGAATATGTTTTGTTTTATATACTGTATGTTTATATGTTTTATGCCCGTTTTTGCAATATCAAGACTCGTTTTTTTATTAAAAGTATTGTTTTTTAAAGGATGGTAATAATTGTGATTAATTAATATTTTTTATATGATATATTATAAAATCTCTATAATAAAATATGTTATTTTTGTATTTTTGTGATTATCCTAAATAAGATACATATGTAAATACGAAATAGTATTAAAATTGAAAAGGATGTAATATAATTAGGCCGTCTAGATGGTAAATGAGAATATTATTCGCGACGGAGAAAACATGAAACTCAATATGTCTTCTTGCATCGGGAAGAGGAAATTGAAGACCAATCCTGACGTTTGGCGGTTACATACGTTTGAAGGAAAACGAAGAGTTTGTTAATCGATTAGCCTTCATCGCTTATAAAATTGAGAGGATGGGTGAGATGTATAACACATGAGTGAAATTAAGAAAGAAACACCCGTGGTAAAGAAATCATTGGCTGCAGCTAGCTCAGAGTATTTTTCCGAAGAAATTGAAGGTAAGCCATGGTTAATTTCTGATTATAATGTTATCTAGTTTCTAATTTCTTGTTTACTTATGGTTTTCTAGAAATGACAATCACCTCCGATCACCCCAAAGACAAGGAACAACAATACCCACCTCCGGTCAACACCGATAACCACTATGAACAACCACGTCACGTGAACCACCACCACCGTGAAGAACCACCTTTCTCTCCTCTTCCACCTCCCTTCGATCAGTTTCGAAGTTACAGAGAAATATCGATTCACCTTACTCACCTCCTCCTCCACCTTATCCGCCTCAACCACCAGAACGTCGCTTGCCACTACTGTGATGACGATTCTTCTCTACCACCAACTCCAAACGCCAATGGCTACAACCAAAAACCACCTGATACCTTTGATTACTACCTTGCCGACATCAACCGTCTTGCACCACCAACACAACCTTCCCACCATGTCTCTCCTCAGTGTAGCCACCATAGCCTTCCCATTCCTCCGATTATCTGCTCACACACTAACCACCAAAACCCCACAAATTATACGGACAATAAATCCACATTTCGGGTGTATACAAAGGCGAAAACAGATTACTCTCTCACTATCCGTAATGGAAAAGTGATTCTTGCTCCAACCAATTCTTCTGATCTTCACCAGGTTTCTTGTTTTCAGTTTCCGATAGTACATGTGCTTACTTTTTCTTCCAAATGTTTCACCAACACCAATTTGTTTGACATGCATCTAAATAGCATTGGATCAAAGACGATAAACTTGATAGTCGCATTAATGATGAAAAGGGCAAACCCGCTTTTGCCTTGGTCAACAAAGCCACAGGAGAGGCTATGAAATTCTCTATCGGTGAAACTTATCCGGTATGTCATTCTACCTTTTTTGGTTAAAACATGATAAGAATCAGGTTTTGAAGGATAGTGATTGATTTATGATTATGCTTGGTGTAACAATATAAACTCCAAATATATTATCGTTTGTGTGTTTACTCTTACGTTATTTCTCAGGTTCAGCTGAAGAAATACAATCCGGATGAAGTCGACATGAGTGTTCTTTGGAGCCAGGGCAATGACTGCGGTGATGGTTATAGGTCATTTAGGACAGTTACCAATATTCATCTTAATCTTGATGCATTTAAGGGCATTAAAGAACTTGGTGGCGTCCATGATGGAACGAAAGTTGTTTTGTGGAAATGGAACGAAGGTGATAACCAAAAGTGGATCATATTCCCGTATTGTAAGTCCTTCCAACTTTACTCCATAATATGTTTCCATGGTAATCATTTTGTTGGCTAATTGCTATCCAAAAGAAAATATCTTTTAAATCAGTCAAAAGGGTTTTCTTATTGACTTTATGTTATGTTTTTGTGCAGGATTTGTGTGAGTGAAGTTTTGATAATCAACCATGATAGATGCTTTGTTTCACGTCATGTGGTTTTCATGTGTTTTTTGAGCAATGACGTGTTTAAATAACAATGATCGTGTTTCTTATAAATCTCCAATTTGACATTTTTGCATCTTTTTTATGCCATTTTTGTAATACTGAGATTTAATGCTCATTGTTTCTTTTGGACAAAATTAGTTGGTTGATCAAAATATTCTTATGTGTTTATGTGTTTGGTTCTAATGGTTGATCAAAGTATCGTATGTGTTTATGCTACATGTTTGATATAATTTTCAATTAACAAAAATGTTACTCCACTTTGACTATTTGTAGAAATGTACATAACTTTCTTTTAGTCTATCAATTTGTCCTCAAGATGAAAGTGTTCTTATGTTGCCTTCATTAGTCATGTGTTTCTTCATATAAGCTACAATATCAAATACGTGTTAAACACATGTTCCCTTTGAAACTACTATATTACATATTACCAACATTCATATGTTTGTTGTTAGAAGAAAATAGGGTAGAAACTGAATATCATAATCATTGGTTTCTTCACTAATCATGTTAGTTTTGTTATCATATCAATATTTCTCCCCTATGTTTGAGTTATGAGTAATTTGACATAGGATAATATTCAAAGGAATACTTGATGTTTTAGGCACAAAAGATTGATGAAGAACCAGAGAGAATTTTGTATGTTAATTTTACATGTTGTGTGTGTGTGTGTGTGAGAGAGAGAGAGAGAGAGAGAGATTGTTAGAATACCCAACATGTATGCTTCCATATGAGGAGTAGCTAAAGCAACAAATTTAGATTCCATTGTAGAACTTGTAATGCAACTTTTCTTCTTAGAAGCCCAATAGATGGCTAGAATAACCACCCACTTGTTGAGGAGTGATACTCAAGTATGAAATCCACCTTTCATCTAAATGCCCTTCTAGTACCAAAGGATATCCCAAGTAACTCAAACCATAATATGCAGTTCCTTTGAGATACTTATATACTCTTTGAATTGCATGCAAACATTGAGTACTATGATTACTTGTCATGGTATACATCAAGCTCCCAATTGCCTTAGAGTATTCCAGTTGCGAAATGGGCTTGTCGGTATTAATTAGGCATCAATTTCACACTAGGATCTATAAGGGTACTTACCGGAGAACCATCACCAAAGTTAAACTTATTAAGAATTTTTTGAATATAATGAGATTGTTTCATAACCATCCCTTTGTCCATTCGCTTAATCCTTGTCCCAAAGATCACATCAGGTCCATGTCTTTCATATAAAACTTAAATGACAACAATCTCTTTGTGTCATCTACTGGATCTTGGTTCGTACCAAAGATCAACATGTCATCCACATACAAACAAATGAAAACACCAGTAACATCAATTTTACAATAAACATATTTATTATATTGAGTTAATATAAACCCACTGGATAACATGGCATCATCAAACTTTTGTTTCCATTGCTTAGGTGTTTGTTTCAACCCATAGAAAGATTTCACAAGTTTACAAACCATATGCTCGTTTACGGGCATAAAAACTTCTGGTTTCATGTAAAAATTTTCATCAAGTTCACCATTCAAGAAGGCTGTCTTCACATCCATCTGATGAATAATCATATTATGTGTAGTCGTTATGGCAACCAACCGTCTAATGGTAGAAGTTCATGCCACTAGAGCATAAGTGTCAAAATAGTCAATATCAGGTTTTTCATTTTTGCCTAAACCCTTGAATCACTAATTGAGCTTTAAACTTATCAATGGTTCCATCAAATTTCATTTTATTTTTGAAGATCCATTTGCACCCAAGTGGATTATAACCTAGAGGCAAATCTAGTGGATTGTGCAAGATAGGGCCAGCTAGGTTAATCTACAACATCTGGTGGTGCCCTCGTGGGCACGTTTCTCTTTGGGTCGGCCTGGTCTGATCGAAATAATACCTAAGTGTTATTCTCAAGAATTGAAGGTATTTCATCTTTAATTGCATCCTTAAAAAATTACATCTTGAGACTCCATGTCCTTTTTAAATGTCTTAGGATCATATTATATCATATAACAACAAGAATATTGAGAACCAATTTCATATCTCGATCCTTCCACAAAATATATTTGAATGTCAGAACCAAAATTTTTGGCAATTTGGCCTCTTTTACTTTTGTAAGTCTCTTGTATTTCTAATGCAACAACATCATCTAATTTTTCTAGATTTGGCACTTCAGTAGCGTTGGGAGTCAAATCCTTAGGCCGAACAATTGATGAAAAATCTCATTTCATCAAAAATCCCATCACGTGATTAAATCATGGTATGAACAGACATCGAATCATTAGGTTCCATTACATAGAACCTATAAGTCTTGGAATGCTCAACATATCCAATAAAAATTCAATCAATTTCACGTTCACTTAAATTCTTTCTTTCGGGTCAGTTAAATTTACAACAACTCTATAACTATAAATTCGAAAATACCTCAGATTTGGAGTTTACTTGACCCAAAGTTCATATGGAGTTGTTTTGACACCCCATTCTTTTTAGAACCAAAAAATAAATTTTCATTACGCTTTCAAAACCATATTATTATTATTTTTTTGTGGAAAATACCAGTACAATAAAACATTTTGCAGAAACTATCTTGTTTTATCAATATAAAACATAAGTTACAGCATAAACAACTAACGGTCTGGAATACCATCGTAGGTTGTCTCTTAATCACTCAGCATGCTAAACATGTCCTAGTAGCTTTAGCCATGTTACATGTGGTGCATATAGTTGGAGTACGTCAGGTTTGGGAAAACCAGGTGTGATACATAGTATTTTCAATCCCACAATAAAATTATGATAATAATACATAGTTATCAAACCTAAAAAACAAACTACAGCCAAACATTATAGAAATATAATCCAATGAAAATATCTATAAGTCACTACACCCATACATACCCAACCCAATCGATTCTCACAAGTCCTAATCCATGATCATCTAAAAGAATCACCTTACCTGATGAAAACGTTTAGAAAAATTATTGACTACACGGTTAGGGATTCCTTGGCGAGTATAAGTCATAAAGGAAACTTAAGCCATCAGAGTATTTGATAAATATGGTTTCATGTTTCATCTACATATGTGGGTTATAAGTCCAAACTAGCAGCATAATTCACAAGATCGTCTAGAATGATCAAGTATTGTCATCTTACTCTAGTAGATGACTAGACATACCAAACTGACTGTTTGATACAGACCCACCAGTTCTAGCATTCCAAAAAGGGGAGGACAACTTCACTTTACTTTAATCTCACAACTTACCCCAAAATGAGACAACCTAATATCCAACTTATTTGAACTAAGCAATCCTTTTAAGTCTTAGTTTATAACTAGACAAGACTATAATACCCATACTTAATCTCCAACACAAATTTCTAACACAAATTTCTGATAGGTTTTGAGTATAGCAAACAACCCCTATGTATGCATGCAACCCTAATTGTTGGATCTATGTTTTCACTATTAGACATACAAGCATTGAACATAAAACAAGAAACCCTATGAAGCATGTACTATTTTCGAAAATAAAAATAAACTAGGGTTTAGATACATACCTTTAAGATTGTTATTGTAAACAATCTTGAATCCTTGTTTGAAAGACCTTTGGTAGAAAGCGCTACAAGTTCCGTGCCTCTACTGGTTCACAAACAAACCTAGCAACCACGGAAGCGCCAACGTACTTCCCCATTCAGCCATCTTCCATTTTCAACCCTTGATCCATTAAGACATTGCTCCAAAACGTAGATTTGACATCCTTAAGCTGGATTATCACACAAAGTTGCTTACTTTACATTCATGCATGGCTAAAAGAAGCTCTTAAAGCTCAAAAGGACTTAATAGAAGACTTATCGCATACATGAGCTCAACAACCCCATAAATTTTGCACCTTTATGTATAAGAAACTCCTAATAAGCTTAGATATAAAAGAATAAGCCTTTCAAACATCCCAACTTATGAAACTAACTCAAAAAGGGACCAAAAGCATAAAACTAAGGCATGAAGAGATATAAGCATGGACAAGACAAGGTTTGGACTTGATACCTCTAGAAGTGTAATATCCATAAAATTTCATAGAATTTAAACTTTTCAAAACACCCCTTTTTCTATAGAAGTGATTACAAAAATTGCCATTCCAAAACATTATTTAAAATCAAAATCTCTGTCGACATAGTTTTCAAAACATTCACTTTATCAGAGTTTCCCGAAAATCACAAGTCCAAATCCCGAGGATGTGTATGGTCACGCCTTCACCTTGCCATGATATACTAAACTACCTGAAACCATAACCAAAACTATAAGCAAAAAGCTTAGTGATTTCTCCCAAAATATGAACACCCAAATAGGTAACATATACAAATAACAAATTGTATACAAAGCCTTCGGCATGACTGGATCGCCTCATAGGGCCTACAACCTATCCGAACTGCTCCCGAGCCTTCTTCATGACTAGACCACCTCGTAGGTCCTACAACCTATCTGGACCGCTTGTCGGGCCTTCGTCCTGACCGGTCCGCCTCACAGGGCCTTCAGTCTATCCGGGCTGCCCTTGGTCTGCTGGCCTTCAACACAAAGCAAGACCGCCTCAACCCGACCACACACACATGTCAACATACACATAACACATAAGCAGGCATATAGCATACCGATATAAATATTACAAGGTTTGTTGACTGGCAGCACAAAGTGGCACAGTCTCAACCCAACCACACTACATGAACACATGTTACTAGAAACATATAGGCAGAACAGATAACATGCAGTTCTAACAGATCACTAAGCATATCATCATCCTATCTATCAGGATACTGATGTAACAGATCACCACAACATGCAAGCATCTGATAAACTAGGATAATAATCCAAAGGGTCGACCTTGGTTCCTTCGACCCGTAACTACAATGAGGAAAATTCACGTGAAGCAGCAAGACATATACTATGACCACTAAAGCGTT